ATGAATCATACGGATTTTTTACAATTTATCTTGTACCAGTGATCCGTTTCACTGACTACTCTTATTTCACAACTAGATTTTTGTGTTTTAATATAGTTTGAAGCTCTTGATAATTAATTGTTTTTCTATTTTTTTTTTATCTTAGTGATTAAATTAATTTTTAAATTTATAACCGAAAGCATAAATCATTCTAAACATTTAAATCTATTATTATTAGATTTTGAACAAACTTTTTTATTTATTATCACTTAAATTTTAAGGTTTAGATAATCGGAGTAAAGGACCACAACTTTTAAGAGATATATTTTTCCATATTTTACTATACTCTCCTTACCTTTAAATAGTGAGCTTTAATTTAAAACAATTGTTTGATATAACATATAATAATGATGATGCATAAAAAAGTTTTTTGCTTCCGATTGTAAAAAATTTAAAATGTAGATTGCCACTAAAATAATTTAAAAAACTCAGATTTTGAGCTATGCAGAAAATACGAAGATTACCTTCATCATAAAATCAGTTTAGCTTGTTAAACCATTTTTATATCGTCAAAAGTTCTCGGAGTTGACAAATACTAACCATTTGAGTAATAAATCGTACAATTGCAATGTATCATGCAACACAGTATTTAATAATCATTGAATTTAATTTTTTTAATTTTGTACGTTGTAGATAATCGACAGTGTGATCCGAAGTCAGAATTCTCGTGTAAGAACGGTCGGTGTATACCGAAATTATGGGTTTGCGATTTCGACAACGATTGCGGGGATGACTCCGACGAACCAGCCTACATGTGCCGACAACGGAACTGCACGACTGGATGGCAGAGGTGTCCGGGAAAGACCAATTACCGGTGCATACCGAAATGGTTGTTCTGTGACGGTAAAGACGATTGCCGCGACGGTTCGGATGAGCTACCAGAGAACTGTCCGAAGTGCCAAGCGGCCACGGACTACCAGTGCAAGAACAACAGGTGCATACCTAAGAGATGGTTGTGTGACTTCGAGAACGACTGTGGTGACAACTCAGATGAGTCGGAAGACCTGTGCAAAGGACTGTACCGGCAGTGTTCGGAGTCTGAGTTCCAGTGTTCTAACGGCAAATGCATACCGGGCCAGTGGAGGTGCGACCACGATGACGATTGTGGCGACAACTCAGATGAACTCAACTGCGGTGGATTCCAGTGCAAGAACGGTACGTTCCAGTGCAAGAGTGGCCATTGCATAGCATCGTACTTCCGGTGTGACGGTGACAGAGACTGCCGTGACTTCAGCGATGAGATCGGCTGCCCGCCCAGGTACCCCGAAGGCCGGTACTGTCCCAAGTCCAAATTTGAGTGCAAGACCACCAAGTTATGCGTTTTTAACTCCGAAATCTGTGATGGCGAAGATGATTGTGGCGATGGCTCTGACGAAGCGTCTGAACTCTGCTGTGAGTGGTGTTTGATTTTATCACAACAAAATATAATTCGTTCATGATGACTTATGGATTGTAATGTTTATTATTTTTCACAGCCAATATGAGTTGTACACTCGACAACCGTTTCTCTTGCGACAACAAACACTGCATACCGATGTACCAGCGTTGTGATGGCGTGGACAATTGCGGAGACGGTTCTGACGAAAACGATCTGAGCGTTTGCGGTATGATGCATAATATCAGACAGTGTGATCATTACACAGAATTCACGTGTGCTAATCGCGAATGCGTCAATAAATCAAAACTATGTAACCTCCAGTACGACTGTGAAGATCTATCTGACGAAAGAGGATGCCGTAAGTCAATACATGGGATAATATTGGTATACTGTGGTGACTGCTTTTATGACACGTTTGCCGTTTTTATGTTATAGACTATTCAGGCACGTGCTTAGAATCTACAAAAGGTGGTTGTGAACACTACTGTTTGAACGTGACATCAGGAAAAGGATTCAGCTGTGCCTGTTACGCTGGATACCAGATTGCAGAGAACAACAGCAAAAAATGTGAAGGTAAGTTAGAACGACAGTAATATTTCGTAAAAAAATCTTTAAATATATACATGTTGTTCAAATGTATCAATATTCTTGTAGATTTGGACGAATGTAAGTTGGGACTTCACCATTGTTCCCAAGACTGTACGAACATAAACGGCTCTTTTATTTGTTCATGTCGAGAGGGTTTTGTGTTGAGCGATTTGTTTAGCGGTGTATGTAAGGCCGTGGATCCTATGTTGACCATAGTATACACCAATGGTCCTGAATTACGTGGATACGAATCTAACGAGAGGAAACACTTGTCGATTCTCAGTAACGAAAAACGTATACGAGCTATTGATTTCGATCCGAAATCCGAAATACTTTATTGGGCCGATTCATACGACCAATCGATAAAACGTTCGTACATGATAAACGCCAAGAGTGGACAAGTTAAAGTGGGATACCCTCAAGATCTGGATATCAAAGGTCCGTTCAAGCCTGTGGCGGTCGCCATAGACTGGATGGGCGACAATCTCTATTGGGCTGAAGTCGACCTATCGAAAGAGGATAAGCCAGCAGGCCGAATAATGGTCGCCAAACAAGATGGAAGATACAGAAGATCGATTGTTAGCAGCGGTATGTATATAATATATATATATATATATATATATGAACAATAGATCCATAATGTTTTATAGACAAAATGAAGTTGCATTGTGAAACATTTGTTTGCTTTTTTTAGAATTGGACACTCCTTCCTCTCTGGTCTTGGATCCCGAAATGGGTAAAATGTTCTGGGCGGACGTTGGAGAAACCCCAAAAATCGAAATGTCTTGGATGGATGGATCCAGAAGAAAGTCATTGGTTACGACTAGACTGCACTACCCCACAGGACTGACCGTCGACACAGCTATAGACCATTCTTTGTATTGGGTGGATACCAAGCTCAATGTCATCGAGTCAATTAAATACGACCAAACGAACAGAGTTGTCGTGTTACGCGGAGGTAAGTGTCGACTGACGTTATTATCGTAACTTGTTAATTCATTTTTAGTTATTTAATTATATTTATCGTTTTGTATACAGAACATCTACATCACCCTATATCGCTGGATCTGTTCGAAAATCAACTGTACTGGTTGTCTAGGGAAACTGGTGAATTAATTAAGCAAGATAAATTCGGTCGTGGTGTTCCAGTCACCATTGCTAAGGACTTAGTGAATCCTACTGGCGTTAAAGGTTAGTTGCTCTCAGAAACCGTGATTTTTTTCTTCAAATAAATTAATCTATACAATTTCTCATTGGCCTATAGTTTACCATCGGCAAAGATATAATTATACAATGCCAAATATGTGTCAATCGGCCGGATGTTCTCATCTTTGTCTATTGGTACCCGCTGGTGTATATTGCGCATGTCCAGACCACACTCATGTACAGCAAGGTGTCAGTGAAAAAATATGTGACGCTGGTAAATAATAATTGATATGTTTAAACTTATATACTTACATGCATGTGAAATAGATGGTAGGTAGATTGAAAAACTAAACTTATGATTTATCAATTACAGCCGAAGAACCGCCGAAACCAGAACCGCGAATTTGTCGCTGTCAAAACGGTGGTATTTGCAGCGAAGACTCACCGGATGGTGAACTCAACTGTTTGTGTCAACCAGACTTTAGCGGTCGTGTATGTGACATCACTTCGAAACGTATCAGGCGACAGGGTATTTTCAGTTCCATGCTTATCATTCCATTGACTGGGCTATTGTTACTATTGGTCGCTGGTGCGATTTTCATTTTCATTCGCAAGAGACCATTGTATGTATTATTTTTATCAACGCTTACAATAAACAACTATTTATGTTGATTTTTTCGTTACAGTGGTAAGGGAGCAGTACTTGGTAGCTTGACCAACTCTCAGAGTGTGTCCTTCAGACAAGGCACGAATGTCGAGTTCGGTCCCAACGCATTCAACAACGGTCCAGGAGGAGGGGTAAGTGATGAAGCAGAAAGAGGAAGCAAAATGTCTTTCGATTTTAACGATGCTTAAATGTATTTACAGGAGCCATTGGACGTGGAGTACAATATGACAGACATAAGTGGCAAGAATCGTGACTTCAGCAACCCGATGTACGATGCCCTCGGGAACATGGAATCTGACGCCAGTAGTGGTATATACGAGGTGCCTCTGGACGTTACTAAGACCAAAGGTCTAGTACAAGAGCCTGCTTCAGCCATACTAGCACCGTCCAGTATTATACAGAAAGCGTCACCACAAATACAGAGGAGACATAGAGAATTAGAACCGGCCACAACGGACACGGGAAAAGACACCCAGATGTTAGTTGAAGAGACCGACGACTAAATATACAATATTATTTGACGAACGCAATATAATTTCTTCCCCCCCTCCCTGATGGAAGAACCTATCTGGTGCGTGTATTAATTTATTCAATTTTGAATCCCCTAAAATGATACGAGAATTAAAAGTATTGATTTGATAAGTTTATATTATTATTATTATTATTTTTATTATTATTATTATTATATTTTTTTTGTATAATATTTTCATGTTTGCCAGTGTTTAACATCGTCTTTGTTTTACTTCTAGTTTTTGTTTTACTAGTAGCGACTGACCAATACCATGGTGTAAGTGTATAATAATAATAAAAAAAAACATAAGCATTATTTTTTGTTTACACCATGACCAAAACGCGTTAATCGTTTGAACTTGTGATATCGATTATATATCATACTTTAATGCATAATATTTTTGTTAAGTGTATTATAATATTTAAATTACTATATATTTTTGTTTATGTACATTTTTTTTAATTACTACTAGTGACAACATGTGTAATTTAACAGCAAAAATTAAGACAATAAAATTTTATGAAATTTGTTGATATCTATAATGGTTCTTTATTAAAAGAAAGAAATAAAACTAAACATTATAAAACAAATAAAATCTTCACGAATGGTGGTAATGGATATACAATAATATTATGGTAACAATAAAAAATTAAAATTAATAAAAGTACGCATCAATCGACCTCCAATTTTCTGAATGATCCGGTTAGTTCTTTTTGCATATCGTCGAATTCACTAATTATTTTTCCTTTTCCGTTGACGTTGATTTTCATGTCATCTAGAGCCATTAACATTTCACGTTTGGCTCGGAGTTTCTTCTTCAGCTCGACTGTGATAAACAAAAATTACATAACGCATCAGTGACTGCATGTGATTATAATGGATTTAACAGACACATTATAAACTATAATGCCGAGTTAAATTTATTAAATAGAGATGATAAAAATATAAAACTCTTTTATCGCCTCTAGTAGGTTCGCTTATGTAACACTTAACACACCTATCATCGTGGCCAAAGGTACTTCACCGCCGTACTCCTTCGGTAGGTATTTGGGATCGATGAATTTCTGTATGTCTTTTTGACCGCTGTAAAACTGAAAATAACGCAACACATGAAAGATTAATTATAGTGACTTAATTGAGTTAACTACAAAATAAATACGAATCTATCTACGATCTATCTATCTATATATATAAAAGAAAATAATGTTTGCGACTGACTGACTGTGTCCTTTATGCATTCTTAATCCGTTCATCCGTTTGCCATGAAATTTGGCACTGAGATAGATTAGACTTTGGGGAACAGAACAGGTTGCATTTTGTCCAGAAAAAAAGGTAAATAAGAGGTCCAACCCGGGGATGTTCTTAAACGGGAATTTCGAAATTATTATTATTTTTGTTATAAATGCAATAAGCCTGTGTATTTAGTACAGAATGTGTATCGAATTCAAACCACGGTTTCGGTGGACCAAATTTTTGCATATTTTGATACTTTAGGGTTAAATTATACACTCAGGTACGAACTACGTGAGGCCCGCGATCTGCAACAGGTAGATTGCCAACCTGATAATATACTGTTCGCATGATCACAAAAACCTAGCAATAGCAACGCATTACCGTGACGGCATTATTTTTATTTTTATAATTACATTTTGGTATTCTGTATATAATACCTACATTATAACATTAGTTCTATTTTTCTCGGTTTCTCGGTTGTTTGTAAATACATATTATAGTTTATATATTTTCCATGTTGTAAAGGTGGATATGTACCCCCCCCCCCCCAAAAAAAAAAAAAATCACCCACGACACACACCCTGTGTCTACTTCCCTGGTTCAGTAATTGAATCACGTTGATTGCAGATTGCAACTACTACTTGTAATAAATATAGGAGTTATGTGTGTACCTTAACTCGGCTCTTGAGCTTGGAGTTTAAAAACGAAACCGTAGCTGTGAAGAACTTATCCGCGAAATTCGGGACGTTTATGAAGTACGTGGACTTGTGTCTCATCGGTGTCGAACTCTGCAAAAAAAAAAAACAGAAACGAGTTAGACGATTTCGGCAATTCATATCCTCCTCTTTTATCGGATGATATAAAATATAGAAAACGCTTACTTGCAAACACCGTATGATGCGTTTTAGGTCAGAGAACGACCACAGCGTCATGTGTCCCATCAGCAATCCAGACTCGTCGTTGACATAACTGTAGCCTGTGCGAGCAAATTGTTTGTATCAAAATATTATAGAATATTATTTATTACGAAAGGCCGACGGCGGCACCCCCGAGGATAACCGTCAATGCACCTATACATGGTACCGACCTTTGATCTGGTTTTCGGCGTCGTCCATAAGGCTCTCGCCGATTAGCGCATGCACGCGGGCCATGTCCGCCGACGTGTACTTGTATGGGTCGAAACGGCCGGCGCACGAGAACATTACGCACCTGCCGAATTCGTCTCGGCCTGGCAACGGCACTAGGTATCTGTCGATAATAATGATATATTGTAATGTGATATGCGTTTGATTTAAGTTATATCGTGTTGTCCGGAGAGATGAGTTACGATGTTAAGATGATTTTTTTTTTGTGGTTGGGGGTGGAGAGAGTTACAAAGGCCACAAATGATAGGACGGTGTTCCTATGATATCATATTATTATGGTTAAGTTCAGTTTTTTTATTATTATTATTATCATTCTGAGTTTTTACAAACAATTATTAGTACACAATGTCTTTGAAAAAAAGTATTAATTATTTAGTCATGTCTTTTTTAAATTACAAATTAAAGTGTGTCCCCAAGTAAAGTAATATTCAATACATATCATTTATTTTTAAAATGGGACATTTCACATTGATTTTCCTTTAATAATTTATATTTGATTGTATATTTGAGAAGATTCGATAATCAGTGAGCTGTAAGAACTGTTATTTTACTGTTTTTTGGATAGCGATAACGTTGAGGCTTGAAAACCCATATTTGTTTTAGCCCTATGTCTCACTCAATACTATTTTATAACCCCAATGGGTAAGGATGGACGAATCGAATTCGAGGTCACTCACCCGCTGTCCAGTATGTCGGATATGACTGGATCGTCGACGTCTAGTTTGGAGAACCACTGTGGGTACAGTTGTCTAATGACGAGGTACCGTTCCAGCATGTCTTGAGCCATGGGAACGCTGAATTTTTTCGTTCTTAAAAACCTCAACAGAAATGGTGCATCTGGACAATGAAAAAAACAAATCAATTAATAACGGCATAAAGGTGTAAAAGTGTTATAAATTATTATTAACAATGTCCGTCTTGCATTTGTTAATAAAATATATGTTACGAATTTTTCACCGTTTGGTTTTTGGTCAAATCAAGCATTTTTTTTTAGTTCGTCCTAAATCTCTAAAAGATATTATTATACAATATATATAAATAATAAGTTTAATAATTTAACATTTATTCCAATGACGAATGATCTATCTTCCACACGGCTGCATCTCAAAATAATACTTATATTCAACAATCTACAGTTATTGAGTTCTTAGTACGTATTTTTTACGATCTTTGAAAATATTTTTAAAAAAATCGAGATGATACAGCACGCCTTGGCCAACAATTTTACAAAAATCACCTTCTATTGTATATATTATTAATAATAATAACTATAATATATAATAATAATTAATAACTTATTACACATAAACTTGGTTGCGTTTGATGAAATGCTAATAAAAACGAAGTCGAGGTTTTCATTAATTTTCATTTGATTTTATGATGTTGCCTATGCATACTTTTTTTCTAATGTACATTGTACATAACATTTTGATGGCCCCCGAAAACTTGCTAATTTGTCCCTAAGTGTCCCCCAAAAATATAGATTTTCCTCTCTGCTATTCAAGGTGTGAAGGGCAGTTTCCATTGTTACCTGTGCGGCAGTTGACGATGTCCGGGTGTTTCCTTATCCAGTTTCGCATTGCTCTCAACGAGTGCGTCCTGATGACGTCATCTTCGCGCAATTCCTGTTTGGCCACCAGTCGCAGTCCGTCGGCCAGCGGACACTCTTCAACGGTGTTCTCGTCGCTATCGTAGCCCACGCCCATCGCGATATGTTTTCGGGTTTATCCTGCTGCCGAAAGACTGTACTTATCGGAAATGGTCGCGGCGCTCGTCCTGATAGGTGTCTATTATTATAGACCTAAAATTAAATAAATTATTATTAAAAACATCAGTGATCAAAAAAAAAAAAAAAAACAATAAATTATTAAAATACACAATTATTATCAGAACTAATATGAATAGGTATTAGGAGAAAATGTACACAATGTATTTATTGATAAAGCAACTAAACTATTTTAAACGTTATTGTTTGAAATATACTTTAAACACCGATCTCAATGCAAACGGAAGTATAATTGTATACCTATTGAAATCGCACAATTTATTATGTTTACGGACTGGTGTACGGGAATATAGTGTAAATGTGTAATGTGTGGCCCATTTGTATTCTAATTTAAAGTTCCACCCAAAAACATATGTCTGCTGACATTGCTAAGTAGCAACTATAAGTACATAACTTGTATACTATTATAGAGCATTCATATATTATATTCTGCCGATGCGTTCGAGGAAACGTGAATTATAATAAATTATGTAAGCTCAGCCAGCTCTGTAACGCGTAATATTATATGAGAACAACAGCTGGTAACAGCAGCTAGTATATTATAGGTAGGTATTACATAATATATTAAATGGGTAATGCTCGTGCATTATACTCAAACTGGTCTACCGGTATCGATTTTTGTTGCATTTATGTAGAATACAATAATATACGCAATCACCGGACCACCAGGTAGATGATCATTACGCACCATATCTTCAGAATAGGATTTTGAAATGACGATAAGTTCAAGGGATAATGACATTGTACATTTGTACAATTGTACACAACTCCAAACGGTAACTTCCGGAGCCCCGATACCGGATTGAAACAGATTGACCTTTTGTATTATCTTTTTACTTTGGGTTACTTTTGTACTAAAAAGATTTGTAAACATTGAAAACAATATAATATATTTAAGGAAGCCGACTACCAGCCACCGTTATATTATTATCGAAATGTTTAGATTAGGATGACAAGGATTTGTCATTAGGTATATCAAATAGTCAGTAGATCGAATATAGTGCGGTTAAAGGTGAAATCACATGTTTCCGGGTCCTAGAAATATGAGTAGTGTTAAGCCGGCGAAGGCGAAGACAAATGCGAAGAAAGAGAAGTGACCGACTTGTATTTAAGAAGAAGTGCCCTCACAAGCAAATACGATGCCGGTATACAGGTATGTAGGTATACAGGTAAGTCAAAGGTCACCGTATTATTTTTAGTATCTTTGCGAGAAGATTTCAAATATTTTGTAGGCTTTCAACTCGTTCGCGAAGATTTTACAGTTTTATTTTTTACCCAAAGACCCTGTGTGGTTTGCATATTTATTTCGGGTTTGCGGCAGAATCAAATACACTACCCTAAAACACCAATTTAGAACATACATGTTATATTATCGATGAAAAACCGGTCACAATTTTTATATACACGCGAATCATAGAATTTCTATTTTTTCGCGGTGAAGACACACCTCGCATTCGACACTTCAGATATTACAGAAGTATGTCCACTGCCGCATTTCCCGTACACCCCAACGTCAAGAGAGCTTTTTGGAATATTTATACACTCAGCCGGGTCGCTGCAAAAGAGTTTTGCGGACGATACTAATTGTCCAACGGGGGCGTGATGGATAAGACACTGCGAAAACGAATTTAAAACGGACGTAATCATATTTTTTTATGTATCCGTAGGAACGTGTTGGCTCACGTCGCTATAATAATCGTATAATAGCCAATAGGTATACTATTACATTATATTATGTACGCGTGTGTGTGTCTACAAGCATTATTATACACGTACTCCAACGAATGTATATATATGACACGCCGCGATTCGCTTCCTGGTCCGGAAGGATTAACCCAGCGCGGTTGCGCAACCCACACCGGTTTCGACCACGGTTGCAGCGGTGACCGCGTAATCGTTTTATTCGTTTACGACGGTAAAAAACGCGATCAACCTAGCTATGGCAATAATAATAATAATAATATCTCCGACCGCGTATGCATAATACACATAATATTATATGGCGACGTGTTATTTCGAGGATATACTACTGCACAGTGATAATATGTAATAGTTAATAAGAATCGGTCGTAACCGATCTCATTTAAAGAAAAAAAGTCAACTTTCATTAATGGTATATTGTAGAACACAATACGATACAAGTACATAGGTATTAGGTATATAGGTGAATTAATCCAAAGATATATTATACATAATAATACTATAGTAATACGCACGCACGTATGTCCATCTGGAAAGACCGTAATATCCTATAATGTATAATATCGTATGATGGGTAAGGGGGTATGATACTTTTGCCAATGTGTCTGTCGTTTGTAAAAAATTCTAATCATGCACTCCACACAGTTTGTGAAGAAATACCTATACGTAACTGCAGTATCAGATTGTAAAATTGAAAATTCAGTCGGTAGTAGTTGTTACAAAAACATTCAATAACCCATAGACAATCGGAATACATTTTGATTTTACTGTTGTATAGAAGTACTTTGAAGTTTGAACTATGTGTAGACAAATTTTTTTCACTCTGTAAACACTTCTTCTATACAAACATGTCAACGATCCATATCATATATTTACCATGTAAACGATGGTCTACAATGACATACCACATGTCCACATAATAATATATATTATATTTAGGTAGGTACCTACGCAATTTGTTTCGTTAACGAACGTGACATTGCGCATTCGTTGTGCGTCTGACGATCTGTCACAGAATTCGAGATGTGAGACCTTCGTCGCCTTCCTGTGTTTTATTGTAGCTCTACATAATAAACCGCGGTCGTGATTGGCTCTGCTTTGGTCCTTTTCGTATAACAATATTATATTATTGTGATATCATTTATACATAAATGTATATTCGATGGGTTACTATAATAGTTTCACGGTCGTTTTCAATAAAAGTCTTTCGGGACGACAATGCCATCGCCCTCGATATAATGTAATAAAGTAACACGTCATGTTAATCTATATACTATATACCATGTTTACGTTCGCCCGGTGATGGAGAAAATAACTAAATTAAGTTAAGTTAGTTTAATACAAGATTGATAAGTAGAAGTTAGTAGTTGAAAAATACTTCTTTTAACTCGTCGAGATTAAAGTAAATATTGAAAAAATATTAGCTCAGTTTAAAATTAAGTTAATCTACTTTTTTAATTACAAGGCATAAGATTATTATAGGAACCATAAGAGTATTTGGTGCCGATCTGCAGTATAAATAAATAATATTTTAACAAGAAACACAATAGAAATTGTATAATAAACTATTTTTATTTAAAACCGTGTGTGCCTATACAGTATAATAATATTGGTGTTTATAAAATCATTAAAACTAAAAACTTGAAAGAAAAACAAAAAATTTAACTTTAAATTGAAGGATTATTTTTAAATCAACTGACAAAAGCTATGTTGCATCAACAGTAAATTGAACTAGTTAATTTGTTCAGTTAATTATAAAACTAACTAACTAACTAGTTGATGCCCACCTTTGCCAATAAGTATTCTTTACATGTCTCATATTATTATAACATTATATTTTACACTGTTGCGAATCGTATATTCGTATCGTGCCGAGGTCGAGTCGCTCGTTTCCGGGACCGTGTGATCGACAAAAGAGGCGATCGTCGAAAATCGACGGCGGAAAATCTCCTAACGAATACCTATTGGAAAGCGCGAAATGGAAAACCGCCGCCGAGACTGCGGATGGCGGTCGTCGCTGGTTATTACGTGTCACACAGCGGGTACCATTATTGTTGTTGAAAAAATATAATTGTTACATCATCGACAGCGTACTTTCACCAGACTAGCGACGACAATAATGTAACAATAATAATATTATGTAGATACCAATAATACGTTTTGTTGGTGCGTCCAATGCGAATGAATAGAAAAAACGGAAATGCTCCGGCGTGAAAAACCGCACATAACAAAATACTATGACAAATAAATACAGGTAAAGGAAAATCTTGGAGTTGAGGGGGAGTTGAAGTCCCCTAGAATTGTTTGAATCCCACTCAGATTTTAGATTCTGAGTGAAACGATGAATGTATTGATCTTACAATGATGTGTGTTTTTTATTTTTTAATTTTTTTATTTTTTTTGTATCTGTGTACACGATAAGTAGTCGAAATAATGCTTCGATTTTCGACTTCAGTATCTTGTTCGATTGGAAAGTGAATATCGTTGGTGCATTGGGGAGGTCAAAATTTAAATTTCCCAGTAGTTTTCACAAGCGCCGGGAAAAACAACATAAAAATTAAGGAAAAACGGGAATTTTTACGCAAAATTGATTTTCCAAAAAATCGATTTTGGTTATTGGTGTAACTCTAAAACAAATGAACGTATATACATGAAATTTTCACTGGTTGTTTATATTTGCATTTTCTATACACGATAACATTTTCAAAATATTTTGATTTATTTTGAACTGTTTAGGGACATTTTCATTTTTCGTTTTTTTTTAGTTTTTTTTCTAGAAATATCAATAAAATTTTATTTGTTGGTTGCGAAAGCTTGAAAATTTAATAGAAGGCTCCTAATATATTGTTTCAAAGGCAGATGAAAAATATTAAAAATCCTTAGTCACAATTTTTTTTTATAAGCATTTAAAGTTCAAAAATTGACAAAATATGGAAAAATCACGAAAATTAGCAAATTATTTTGAGTTAAGAATTCGTAAAAATTTTTCTTTTTAAATCTAAGATTTGAAAATCTAATACAAGATTACTCATAAGATTGTCTACCTTTATCAATAAAAAAATCTCTACCGGAAAGTCAAATTAAATTTTTATGAGCGTTTGAAATTCAAATTTTTACAACATTGGATATTCACTCGATTTCTCATGTGGCAATTTCCTTTTTTTGTTGTAATTAAAAAACGAATTACTGTAAATACATGAAAATTTCACTGAATGTTTA